TATGTATATTGCCTGTCTCTTGGTTCTCAATTTGGTCTTTTGGCAAAATATCTCCTGTACCAGTGAACAAAACTTAACAACACTCATTTAAAGTAATCACTGGATGCACATCTACAAATGRTCAATTTTCGAAGCCATTGAATTGCGATTCAAATGTTTATAACTTTGACAACTTTGCAGATGTTGACCTAATCTTATACAGCAGTAGCTGAGACTGATCCCTCTGGATCTGGGTGTTAATAGATTGAACAAGTTCTTTGATTAAACTTTTGTCTATCATTTTTTGAGAATCAATGTTGTTAGCTTCAAATATGAACCCCTGGAGAGATTTTGATAAAACGTTCAAAACAAAATCACTGGATGTGCAACTCTCCAAATTCTTTCTTAGGATGAAAGATAACAGAAATAATGACTTAAAGCAGCATATTTGTCTTTTCCACATTCTTTCATTTCCATATTTTTATTGTCTGTTAGGAAGTGTGGATTGTGGGATATGCAGGAATGCGCTTCCTGATTTATTGCCATGTTATCACTAACATGTGTTTGTGGGGCTAAAGTAAACACGCTGTTTATGAGTTATTACCTTGCAGCTGGACTTTTTTCCACCCGAAAGAAAAATCAGATCGTCAGCTGTTGAAGTGTATTTCCCCTCGCTTAACATGATGACATAAAGTCCTGGGTCTCCTATATGAAGGGGAGAGAGAGAGAGAAACTGGCTTTATGTGCGGTTGTGTAGCAGAGAGAATGCGCTCCCGCTGTGCGCCGTAGTGCCTTCGAGTTCCGCAGCCGAGCCATCGTTGCGTAATTGTGCACGACTGGCCGGGAGATGTTCCACCACCAGGACACTCTGCCTCTGAACTCTACAACATTTTTTTCTTTTTTCCTTTCTCTTCATCGTAGGCGTGTGTTCACTYACTAAAAGTTAACTGAGCGGGGAAAGGGAGAGGAGGAAGAAGCAGAAAAGAAAAATTAAAGTGGGCAACAACTTCAAACCATCCCGGTTCTTATACCGGGGGGGAGTTGTCGTCATCAGCACCCCAGTTATCCCCCCCAGTTTGGCTCCCTAAATGGACGGGGCCGTCTCGGTCTCTGCAGTGCAGCGCAGGCCGAAGGACTGGGAGCAGCTGGTGCGGATCCGTCCCTGTGGCGTGTAGAGACGGGGAGCGCTCAGAAATGCCCGGCTGCCTCGCTGGAGCTCCGCTCTGAGCACTTTTCTCCTGCCTTCTGTGCCTCGTCAGGGTCTGGGGAGGTGTGTGTGTGGGGGGGCCAAAAGGACTCTGCGTAAAGCTTGCAACTCAAAGGAAAACTTTGCACTCCAGCTCTCGCTATGGATTGTATGTATTTGCTGATGTGCTTTTCACTCACTCCAGTATTTTTGGAGCATATTGTTGCTGCTGAAACGCACGGTGAGTAGCCAGATATTTTMTGTTATGGAATGCGTAAAGAAGAGGGGTAAATAATAAAGAAAAATGGCCYATTTCTGCAGAAAAGTCAATAAGTTTGATTTTCTTGTTTCTGATTAAAACAAGGCAGAAATGGTTGTGTATTCATTGATTGCTTCATACAATAAAAAGAACAATCAGGACTTTTTTTTTTCATTATTCAAGCTCTTCTTTAGGCTTTTTTTTCTGCTTCAGCTTTCCTGTCACATGTGTGATTCTCACTTGGCACTGTTTGTCCCATCAGAACAACTCTCCGGAAAGCTGAATGAATACGGTCTGATCGTGCCGTTCAGCACAGACTCCCACGGCCGGTACATTTCTCACGTGCTCTCTGCTGGAAGTGGAAGTAAAAGTGCTGCAGCTACTGAAAMCCCCCCAGGCGCTGGCAGCAGAAGAAGGGTGGCCCGCGGTGCCCCCGAGATGCCCTCGATCACCTCGCCCTCGGGTCAGCACTTGTTTTTCAACGTCACTGTGTTTGGGAAGGAACTTCACCTTCGCCTGAGGGCCAACAGGAGGCTGGTGGCCCCGGGGGCTTTTGTGGAGTGGCAGGAGGACTTTAAAGAGGAGACCAAGGAGCGCATCCAGGGGGACTGTGTTTTCACCGGGGATGTGACYGACATGCCAGAGGCCTCTGTGGCTATAAGCAACTGTGATGGCCTGGTAAGTCACGCGTACACATTTGATCTTTAGGTGTGGCGGAAAAGCAGAGGATGCACCCTCTTATATGAGTAGTCAGTATCTTACCTGCAGTAGATAGCCGTCAGAGTGAGCTCATGTCATCTTCGTGTCACATTCTGGCTTATTTCAGAGTGATTTTTATTCATTTAAAATAAACCTTACCTCTGATACTTTGTAGTGGTTCAAATGGATGTTCTGTTGTAAACGTTTATACAGATTCTTTTACACATTTGCGTCCACATTTATTTACACTAAGCACTGTCCATGTTAAAATGCAACCCGCGGTTTGTTTGCATCACGTTCCATGTGGCACAAGACAAAACTGAACATGTGAAACCAACAGTTTGAGAGGCTATCTGATGCAAATGTAGCTATGTTTACATGCGCAAAAATTATTTGATCGTATAGAAATATATTAGGATTAAATTATCGGAATGTATTGTTTACATGCGCACAAGCCGATCATGACGAGTGTTTACGTGCACCAGGCTTTTTTTCAGAATAGAAGCACTGACATGTGCAGTTGCTAACTTTCCCTAAAAAACTGAAAAAACTTCTACTTTCGTCATGAAGATAAACAAACAGCTTCTGCACCCTCAGAATGGACCTGTGACAGCTTTTAATAATGGTGGAGACGTTACTGCACTCTCTGGTTGAGCTGCAGGTGACGCGCGGATTATTTATTTATTTATTTTGCAAAGCAGCGCAGGCTGTGTGTCTTCCTTTTTTATTGAATGAGAAAACGGGAGGAAAACGTCTGTGCTGCTGAAAACTACAGCGCTGCTGTCCCTCCCTCCTCGAAATAGCAGAAACCCGTGGATGAAAGTCAGCAGACCTGCGCAGTCAGGTCAGTTTTCCACAGTCAGAATAAGATGATCGGATTAAGTGTTTACATGCACGTCGTTCGGATTATCAGTCGGCATAAACCACC